AACTTTTCTGTTGCAGTTCCTACAGGCTCGGAGTTGTGAAGATTTGTATTCCTTTGAGGGCAAATGGTGGAGAACAAAATGCAAATTAAGGATTTTTCCTTTTCTTCCACAGATGTTGTCAACTTGGACCTGAAGTCTACCCTGAGGGTTCTATACAATCTATTCACAAAGTACAAGAATGTGGAGTGATCCTGGAAGCTGCTGAGATCCTCATCCTACCAGTCTTCTTAGGCAAAAAATCCAATGAAAACACCCTCTGCACATTCCCTTTGTGCCTTATGCTATACTTACTGCATTCTTTCCAAAATTGCTATGATCTCTGTAGCTGTTTGTATGACAGTTCCACTAAAAGTTATGCATGTGTAATCTCTAGGTCACTTAAAAATGTGTAGAAATTTTATACTTCTACCAGGAGATATTCTTGAATCTGTTTGCTATGATCAAGAAATATTCTCTTGATAAAGGAAATATACCACTAACTATTTTAATTAGCAGGGAAAACTTGAGACTTTACTCATGATTGTGGACTCTGATTCTATAATAACCTTTCTTTCACTTGATGATTTTCCAGACTTACCCATTAGCATTAGAAACCGTTAACCATTAGAAAATCAGCATTGAAATTTATTGGGAAGCTGTGCCTTTTTTATTAAATAAAGTTTAATGTGTTCTATTGAGTGAATGAGGTTGAGGTTAATTACAGACAATATCTAAGCTTCGGTTTTTGTGTTAACCTCCTACTACTCTGTTATTTCCATTCAGTGTTTACACAGAATAAGACTTGCAATGGCATAACCATCTAGTCTTTTGAGGTCTCTTTTTATTTCATCTCCTTTCTAGGAGAAATATGTTTGCTGGAACCATTGTCATCCTTTAGGTATGCAGTTTCAATCAGGTCAGTCATCAGGAGCTTGTCAAATATGCCCAGGTTGGATTAATGTTTTCTGTCCCAGTCCTGTCTGAGATGTGTGTGGAGACTAACAAGCTTAACAGTTCAAAGGCTGTCACTTCATTTCATGTAACTAAGATAAGGGGTTGGATTCCTCTTGAAATTGCTGGCACCGGTACAGTTTTGGGGGTCAAGCATTTATAAACAGTTTTAAAGTATTTTCTCTCCTGAAGATTAAAAGTGAAATTTTGTGTAAATAAGAGCTTACCTCGTTGATTACCTTGGCTTCTACTAAAGGCAAAGTGTACTTAGTGCAAGCCAGTGGTTAACTCTCAAAGTTGAAGCTTTGCAATGATGTTTAGTTGTGCTTCAAGCTGATTTTAGGTTGTCCAGTGTCATCCCAAGAACTTTAGTAGAAATTTAACAATAGACTTTTTCTCCTTTACTTCTTAAACATTTTTTAATCTCAGGAAGAAGGCAAATGGGCTTCTGCTTCTTCATTTCTTATTTTGGGATTCTGAATTCTAGTAATGAATTACTCATGCCACCTCCCCTCATGCCTCCAGAATAAAAGTGAAAGGAAGCTTCTCTGTTTTTCCATGAAAAATTCAGGTCCATGTATTCTGTAGGATTCTTTGGGAGTCATTGTTTGTACTTAAGGAGCAACAGACCTCTTGCTGTTTATAATAACAGTGCCTAGTACTATAGGACTTGAATTTCTGATGAGACCATTGGACTCTACCATGGTGCTGGCAGTTATTGCAGAGGGAACTTGCAGAAGCACTGAGACCAGGTGGGTCAGCTCTCCTGGCAAGTTAATTAAATTGATGTAACTTTTGTGCTATGAAATAGGCTGGAAGATGATTGAACTGAAATATCTCTCAAACTTTCTGTTTGACGCAATGCATTTGTGGGAAATGAGTCTGTAGAAGAGCCATCATTCCACTCACCCCTGGATGTGGAAATGCCAGTGCTATCTTTATTATCTGAGATGTTGGGAAAGACCTCCAGAGAATCTAGTCATGAAATTACTGGCTATATTAATATAAAAAACAAACAGAAAATAAGAAGAGGAGGTGGATGAGAGCAGTTTTGGTTTGAGAGAAGAAAAGGCTATTCCTGAGATGGGAATTTACTACATCTGATATCTTAATTGCCTGTGAGCAGATGTGGACACAACAAATTTTAAGTCTCTGTCTTTTTCAGTTAGGTGTTTCTAGTTACTCTGCAGAAACTTGAATCCCTCCTTTGCAATCTGAGGCATGGGTCTCTTTTGGCATTTCTTATGTTAACATCCCAGCTGGTCAAGACAGGATTGAAACATTGGGTAGTGTCATGTCCTGTGGGTTTAGTTATCGTTCTTCAAGATGGTACATGTTGCACAGGGAAAATGCATTTTTCATTCCTTTGCTCATTGTTGTATAACCAGGTCACTCTTCCTGAGAACGTTGTCTTTGCTGTTGACCAAAGAGGGAGAGGGAATGGACTTTAACTGAACTGGAGCTTAGTTGCAAGCAGAACAGTTTACAGGAAAAGCAGTGGAGGCAAAGCCTTCTCTAAGCACGTGTTTTTGTCATGACTTTGTTACGAGATACTTACTCTCAAAAAGAGAAGTCAGTGTTTAGAATGTTATTCACAAACTCTTTGCTCTACTGGAGTTTTAGATATGTTTCCCTGGGTACCAGTGGGGTAGATTTGAACCCTGTTGAGTTCACCTGGAATGCTGAATGCTCTGCAGTACTGAAGTTTCCACATTTTTAAATACTGTCTGTCTTTTCCAGTTCATACAACTTGCCTTTTAGGTGTGTCTGCTTGACGTATTGAAATGCAGTGAGCTGTATTACAACAGAAGAAGCCCAGATGTTCCTTGGCTGCATCCTATTTCTCTAGATAAAAAAGCAGCAAAGCAGATTTTATTTTTTTGGTCAGTTAAAACTTATGGGCCTTCTCACGCCTCCTTCTCATACCCCAATGCTTTCAGTATTAATGTATTTTTTTAAGAATCTTTTTTACAGTTTTTAACAGTGTTTACTCTTGATATATTACTAAAAACTAGTCTTGAAATAAAATTCTGGACTTGTCATTTGTGACAAGAGTTGTGTACTGTAAGCAAGTTCCAATGCAATGCTATGTTTGCTAAAGATAACAGCAGAAGTGTTGTGCATGGTTTTGTGACTGTTGTACTATTTATTCAAATAAATAAATAAGTGATGATCCCATGATTTTCCACATCTCTTTTTTTTTTTCTATTTTTTTTTTCCTGCTAAGCAGACAAATCAGTGGGAAGAACCTTTGAAAGATAATGGGCTTCAGCTATCTTCTTTATCAAGGGCCCTAGATACATGTGACCCATGTAGACGTAGCAAAGCAGTGGTCTCAGTGTGCTGGCCTTGGTGATGTGATTTTACAGTTAGATACAAACGTGTCTGACTCATTCATCAGCAGCATTTTTGTTACTGCCCTGCTTGATCATGTTGTTCATCTTCTCCCTTCCACGAGAGATAACTGAATTATGCTGTCTGATACTTTTAAAAGTCTTAGGGCCGAGTTCTTCCACAGCTGAGTAGGAGGGAAGCCAGGCATGATGGAACTGGAATTCTGTATGTCTCTGCAGAGCACCTGGGAAGCCAGGAGCCCAACAAAGTGTGGAATGACCCTGGAAATCCATATATTTGCTCCAGTGTGAAGGGGACAAAGAGCATCTCTTCTATAAAGCAAAGCCAGGGAAAGCAGGAAAATATATGATCAGAACTTGTTACGGGTGGGAGTACCACCAATTCCATGAATTGTTCTTCAGTGGCTATTTTTATAAGAAGTCTAGGTGCGTGTGGTTGTGTGCGTGACACATGCTTTGGGAATGGATGGAAACACTCATGGGGCAAGATGCAACTCTGGCACTGAATTTACTAGTGCAGTTCCGCAGAAGACTGGATGCTTCATGCACTGCTGATATTTTGGAAGAAAAATATGCCCATCCACTGTTCGAGACTGTTCTTTGCCCTGTCTTGCACTGCATTGTGTCTGAGACTTTTAAGAAAGAAACATGAGTTGCTAGATGAAGCACGGAAAGGCCTAATAACTACAGATAAATTCCCCAAATTTTAGTTGTTCCTACTCGCTCTGCCTGCTGATAAGAAACTGGATTTCAGAAGTGCAGCATTTCCAGCTGTCCTTTTTGTGGACTTTACTCCCTACATTTCTAGGCTGTGGCTTGCACTCCTGTGTAGGTTAGAATGTACTCTTGGTCTTTTCTGAATTGATACAATGTGCTTTTTTTCTGCTTAGAGAGTATGCTAAGTTTGTACTTCGACCCCTAGATGAAAGTTTTGGAGTTAATTTCTCAGTTACTAAGAATTCATAGCACCTGGAAGTCTGTTTTCATCTCACTTTCCTTTACCCTATTTAGCTCATGCTGAACTATTAGTTCTCATCTATAGTGTGGAGCTAAACACAGAAGTCAGTCCCTTAATAGTGTTAAAACAGACTGGCTTAATTAGTGTGGCTGTCTCCTGTCTTGTTCTGGGATTTCATGGAGGACTGCAGAGCTGTTGCTTTTTTATTCTGGAAGACTTAACAACTGTAAGCGATACCTGAAGGCGATGTCCAGGGGAAGTGATGGCTGTGGAAAGCTTTCTCTCTTTAATCTGTGGTAAAAAAAGGGGAGGCAGAGTATCAGATCTGCCTAGCAGAGGTAACTCTTGTATCAGATGAGCATCTGGGGCACTGGTGTGACTAATTAGCTGTCCAAGGACAAATGAGCTTATTTCCTTCTGCCTTTCTACTTCTGCCAGGTAGGAAGAAAAGTGCTGATCTGCCTTACAAAATGCTCTAAGGGCCATGAGTAAGAGGTGTAATGTAGCATGATGATTTTATCTGTCACTGGATCTTTTATTAAAGGCAAAGAAAACATGCAGCGATGTGTACTAGCAAACGATGTGGTGCTATGAAACAATGACAGTATCTTGCTTAATACCTTCTGGCATTTCAGGAGTTGTGAGGATACATGTTTCCTGCATTTGTATTTCTGTTTATTGCAGTCTCCAGCAGGAACTGAGCACGCAGACAATGAAGTTCCGCTTATGACTCTGGTTTCATTTTCAAGTGCTGTCAGTGCTGTGTGGTGCAGCTTCCACCACGCAGTGTGCGCGCTTCGTGCTGCCCTGTGCAGGGGCTGCAATGGAACCAAGCCCCTGAGCAATTGCATCGCGCTGCTGTGAGAAAAGCTTCTAGAGAAATACTGAAGAATTGAACAGTAAGTTTGGGACTCTTTCAGGGGGAATTTTGGTGGGTTTTTTTTTTCAGCTATAGGGCTTCACGCTTCTTAATGCTTTCGCATGGATTGTTCTTGCTGAGACAGTGTCTCTTCTGATGCTGGTGACTCTTGAAAAGTCTGATACTGAACAAGGAAGTAAAAATAAGTTTTAAACTGAGTGCACAGTGCGTGTTCTCTCTCTATTTATTCTGCCTTTTTGAAGGCAGAAGTGTTATCGCTAGCATTCAGAATTGGGTTTTGTTCCCTGTTTGTGTGATCTGTTTAGAAAACTGTTCCTAGGAAATGTGCTCGTGCTGATGCAGAGCAGGGCTTTTGTCTTGTTCAAACAGGAAGTTCAGCAGTTGAAACAATTTGGTAACGTCGGTGAGTGCCTGTGTATATCCTACAGTCAGTTCAGATATCCTCTCACCAGTGCTTTATATCATACATCAGGGATATCTGGGAGTCAGACTGTGAGAAGACCTGACGTGAGATGAGCTGATGTGGTCACTAAGAGAATGAGTTGGTTTATCTGTCATTGTTGCAGCATTATGCAGTTCTCAGCCTACCAAAAATTCACCACGGCAGGTGGTGCAAGAGGAATACAGCAGCTGTTGCTTTTAAAGTGAACAAGGCTGTGACATCTCAGTAAAAGAGAACGAAGGACGACATAAAGCCATTTCATTTGAATAGTCAATAATTAAAGCTCAATTTTATTAAAAAATTCCACTGTGAAATGCCACTACAATCAATATTCAAACAGTTGTCTCCTGGAATGATCTCTCCTCCTAATAGTGATAAATAATTCATGCAGGAGGCCAGAGAAAAATAGCATGTCAGTTAGAGCTCTGGATAGTGAATTTGAGCGCTAGACTGCAGAGGTTATCGGAAGCCTGGAAGCTTGCAGGTGAGCAAATCTTCCATCCTTTCCGATTTCTCATTAAGCAATTAAACCCAAGGAGGAGTCCAAATCCCATTTTGTTCTGTTTCATGCTGTTTCTACAGCAGGTTACCTTTTGAAAGGCCGCTACCAAGGATCAAGCCTTGCAGCAATGAAACTTGTCACAAGAGGCTACTCAAGAGCACTAATTATTAGTAACAAGTAATGAGTCTATTAAATGCTAAGGAGCTGCAGTTCCTAGCCTCTGAAATGGCAGTTGGAAATCAGTATAGGTGAATGCAAAGTGAAACACATAGTGGGAAAACACAATACTGTTTCTACAGATAAGTGATGGGCTCAGAGCAGGGTGTTGGTATTTAGGAATAAGATCTTGGAGTTTTAATAGACAGTTCTGTTAAAGTGCCAGCTCAATCAGCTCAGCAGTGATCAGTAAAACAAATGATGTTAGGAATTAGGAGGAAAGGCATGCAGAACAATGCAGAGGGCACCGCCCTAAACCTGTGCAGTTCTGCTTCCTAGCAATTGAAAAGGGATGTGGTAGCATTGGAGAAGGCTCTGAAAATGGGGGCTCAGATGATCGAAGTTACAGAATGGCATCTCTGCAAAGGATGTAGGGTGTGCTTCTTTGTGGAAAGAGATGACTGTTGAGGGTGTACTGTAGCAGCATAGTAACATAAAGATGTGAAGAAAATGAAGTAATGGCTCTCCACTTAGGTGTAGTGGGGCGCTTCAGAGGATGTAGCCTAGGGTCAGAGCAAGCAGAAGGGAAGTGTTTCCTTATACCAGTTGGCACTATGCTCTTCAGCTCCTCACTGTTGAATGGTGAGAGAGGCATGCATTCATGGGCAGGCTGGGAAGTTCATGAGAACTAAGTATTTTGACAGCATCAAATTATTAGGACTCCAGTTTTGGTTTAGAAAGGCTGAGCAGCAGGGTGTTGAAGCTTGTGAGCGTGTTTTAGGGAAGTAACTTGTTAATGCTTGCTCTATTTTCTTTTTCCCTAAGCATCTGACTTTGGGTGCTGTAAAGGACCAGCAGCATTCAAATGATCTCTGGTATCAGGTGACAGGACATTTTGTCTCACGCAGCATGGCCATTTTACCATTCTGGCCAAGTACAACACACAAGACCTAGTCCTTGGAGTACATTACCTTTCGTTAGTGTAAATTCTTAATTTCAGACCCTTTCCTATAGGCTTCCAAATGTTAAAGGTAGCTTTCTGATGCCTGGGTTCCTTGGCCAAACAGATACCAAGGATGTGGCAGGCAATATGCCTTATTTTAATGTGTAAATATTCAAAGGAAGTGTAAGGGATGTGCAAGTTGGATATTGCAGTGAAGTTGAGTTGGTAAGTTGTGGTTTACATTGATTATTACATAGGGCTTTAGAGTAGAACTTTCCAAGACAAAACAAGTGCCAGAAATCTAATTTAAGTTGGACTTAGGTTTCTCTGTATTAATTACCTCTTTCCTCCTAGTTTCCTCCTCTAGACAGTCTCATCTCAGATAGTTCAGTTGCTCCCCAGGCACTAAGTGACTCAATTTCTCCTAAGTATCTTAATTTATTATCCACCTTTCAGGTGACAACATTCAGTTTTGCAGCCATAATGACAGTCATCGCTTTGTGACTCTTCTTCCTTGATTGTCTGTTGGGTTTGTATCCAATTTGTTTGCAAGACTGATATGCAAAAGTATTTAATTGCCACTTCCTAGCAATAATTGTGGCTTGGCAAGATCTGTGTTAAAATACACATTCATAGTGGACTTTGACTGGAGTCTTTAATGAACACTGAGAGAGTCTGCAAAGGAGGATTATACATTTTTGAGTGAAAAACTACCAGAGAAATGCCACTTTGGAAACTGTCTCTGGACAGTTGTGCAATGGCATTTGCAGCAGCTCTCTTGCTCCAGGAGCAAGGAGGGCTATGAAGATTGTGAAGGGTCTGGAGGACAAGGTGTCTGAGGAGCAGCCGAGGTCCCTTGGTGCGCTCAGCGCAGAGCAGAGGAGCTGAGGGCAGGCCTGATGGCTGCTGCAGCTCCTCACAGGGAGCGGAGGGGCAGCGCTGAGCTCTGCTGTGTGACAGCGACAGGGCCCGAGGGAACGGCATGGAGCTGTCAGGGGAAGGCAGCTGGGGGTCAGGGACAGGGGCTGCAGTACAGGGTGGTAGGGCCACGGAACAAGCTGCCCAGGGCAGTGGGCATGGCACCAAGTGCCGGACTTCAAGGAGAGTTTGGGCAAAGCTTTCAGATATAGGGCTTGGATTTTGGGTGGTCCTTTGTGGAGCCAGGAGCTGGACTCTGTGATCCTTGTCAGACCCTTCCAACTAGGGATATTCCACGATTCTGTGATCTGCTGAAGTTAACTGATCTTTGGTTTAAAGAAGAGCTATCCTTTTTGTACAAACTTTTAAAAGAGACTGCTCAGGTTCTAGTACTATTCCTTGCTTTATTCTGCCACGTTAAAGCATCCTAGTTTTCTTAGTCTTGTGGACTTGGCCGATCAACCTTTACATAAACACAGACTGCAAAAGCAAGCACTTGGAACTTTTCCTACCACTTAAGCATCCTGTAGAGCCTAGTTCTGTCTTTCGTGTTTTGTAGGCAACATGGAACAGATTTACGTATGCGTGGTTAAAAAATCAGACTTGTCTTTGCTTGTACTGTGGTTTAATTCAAGAACACTAGGGGACATCTTTGCCAGACCCTTCTTCATAGGTCGTGGCTGGTATCAGGGTGCACTTGGTAGGACAAATGAGTGTTATACAGCCTCCCCACCCTACTCCCACAGCTCCATTCTTTGGCTCCTGCTGTCCTCTGTGCAGCTCCTAGCCATTTTAGAAAAGCCTGCCTCTAGTATTGTTTGTTGACAGGGTATTTTCATCTCTGTGTTGTGTATTGCTGTTCTGCTTTCATTCAAAGATGGCTAGGCTGCGTAGGGAAGTCATTCTCCAGTCTGTGTTTAAGGTACAAATTGTTGAGAAGCTGTGCAACTTAATTTAACACCAAGTTGAGGTTGTATACCCAGAAGGAAGCTGCTTTTTTTTACACAACTGTACCAGATGGTCTAGTAAAGGAAACTGCTTGTATCTGTAAGCTCATGTCTAATTTAACTACTGCATTCTTGATTTAATAGTTCTTAAGTATTGATCATTTTTATATGTATTGGTATCTAGAAGCCAAAAGCTTTTTTTTAATGTAAATTGAAAAATGATTTTACTAATTGATTCAGATGAAACAATTGGTTGGAATTAAGGCAAGTTTTTGTGCTTAAGGGCTTCCTTCCTTACATTCTGATTATTAACAGAAAAAAATGAAGCTTCTTTTTAACTTTACATTTTTTTATTATGCATTTAAATATTATTTTCAGATTGTTTTTAGAAGTAATTCACAGGTCATTAAATAATAACTAAAAAAAAGCCCTTCCATTTGTTTTCTTCCTAACTGTTATTTTCTTCTATTCATGCCTTCTTTACTCATGTTTCCTTTTACTCTGTATCTTTTATCAGGTAACCAGGACTGAAAAAATACAATGGACGCAGACTTCTTAAATGCGTTTACACAGCCTGCTGCTCTTAATAAATTCCTCGTTGAGAATGTCATCACTCCAGGTACGTACTTCATAAACCAAGACAGAAAAAGGTCCAAGGAGTGACCTGAAGAGACAAGCAGAAAAATTGTAGTACGAATGAATCGTGTATTTTTCAACAGTAGTCTCCTGGCTTCATCGGCAGCAAGTAAATGCTGTGATGTGCATGTAGTTTGGCCTCTGACTCTCTTGAAGCAGATAATGAAGAAGCAACACAAGTCCTAGCTGATTCTTTAACTGAAATTGAAATTTCATACATAAAAGTCTGCCTAACTTTTGTTTGTTTCCAGGATTGTCCCTCTAGATTTATTGATTTGAATTACGTTGGAATATAACTTCTGACAGCAATCTTTAATGTTTTGATAAGTCATTTTCTTCCTTATGGGGAATCAATTGAAATAAAAAATGGCAATTTCTACATATGTCAGTTAGTGGTACTGCAGATTTTATGGAAAACTTGCACGAGTCGTATCTGATAATTGTAATTGATCTTGTTTCTTTCCTTCATAGGAGAGAAGAGGAAACTCATAAAACCCACCTCAAGCAACAATCCCAAACTGGAGGAATTAAAACTGGTACAATTTCTTTTACTATAGTGTTTAACTCTTACCTGAGATTGCTGTACCCTGCCACATGGCTGCTCAGTCATGTAAATTACTCAGCTCCTTGGCCCCAGATCCTCACTCTGTAAGGGCATGGGCATGTTCTGATGCTGGCATTTGGGCTTTGTCAAGTACAGTTCTAAGCTTTATGTGCTGACACCCCACAGAGTGGTCTCTGTTGTGCGTAAAGTGGAGAGCGGGTTTAAAATCTGGGATTCTTCTTACATGATTTCTCACATAACTCGGGACATGTGTATGAAGTAGCCGGGTGCTACTTGGCTGTAGCAATAGTGTAATGGCAATAAGAATCCATCCAGGACAGCCAGCTGTGATTGAAAGGAAATCCATGTCAACACTTGTTATGACTAACAGGAGACGTTCAAGTACACTGAAGTTGGTTCTCCTGATCCTATGATAACAGGCTGTGGAATTACTGTGGTGATGGTCAGCAGTTTTCTCTTGTCCTCTGCCTTACGTCTGCAGCTCACTGAAGGCTGCAGGCTTGGTGCAAGCTAAGGTGCAGCCTGATGGGTTAATAAATAACAGAATAAGGAGGAGTGAGGATGTGCAAGTCACCAGTGAAATTGAAGAGAAAAGCCCTCAAGCTGTTGTGCAGTTCATTGTCTGCTAGAGGTGGCTGTGACAGATGAATCCTATTTCACGGGGAAGTGCTTTATTTCCAAGTAATTTTGAAAATTCCCCCTGTGCTTTCAATCACTGTGTTTTTCTAGTGGCATAGCCCAGGGGAAGGCTAGCATACTGAAATTTCCTGCAAGAAAAGTGGTGTGTCTCTTTTGAGACTGGCACTTCTTGCATTATGGAGATACTAAAAGTGTTAGAAATATTACAATAACAAGCTTAGGCTTTGTGCTGTTGTGTGTGTTATATGGCATTCATAAATTCTTAAATATGTGTGCTTCTTTATTATGTTTTCTTAAACCTTCATGCACATTTGATAAAAAATATTTAATTTCTATGTCAGGCTTTCACAATGTTTTTATATGAAAGAGGAAATCTTGAAAGGTGATGCTGCGAAATGCAATTATGTTGTCTACAGAGACATTGCATTTGTTCTTTCCAGACTGCCAAAAATGAAGAGATTCCTTATTATATGGAGATTTCTGTGAGCTTCAGTGCTTGATTCTTTTCCTCTCAGAAACTCCTGAAAGAATGTTTGTCGCTGTCTGTCTTCTCTGTGGAAGATGGTGAGGTGGAAATGCAGATGCAAAGGGGGGCATCCTCCATGTGCCATCACTGCTACTGCTTGCCCTCTTGATCTAAAGTGTTTGTGGCTCTTTCGGAGAAGAGCTTGGGATGCAGAGGGGGAGCTGTGGAGATCCTTATTTAACTTGGAAAAAGACAGTCTTGCATTACGTTTTTGTTCTGAAGCTGGGAGCTAAGAAGTGTGAAATGGCTTGCTGTAGTGACTGTAAATATTGAAGAATGTGTAAAAGAGAAGATGGTTGCTTTAGAAGCCAGTAGCAAACATCTTTAGGTATTCCTTTTCTCTTTTCTCAATTTATTCATTTTTACACACTGCTCTGCAGCTGAATGGGACCCCAGTAACAGGACTTGAAAGAGTAGTCTGAGCTGCAGGCTGTGGTCGTGGTTGTGAACAGCTGAGATACCCAACGAGGAGGCTCATAAATCTATACTTAGCAGTACTTTCTGCTTTTTGGTCTTGCCTGTACCATGACATTTGGTGTACATGTCTAGCCCTTGCCCACCTAGACATCACCAGGTCTTAGGCTGCAGGAGCAGAGCTTTCTGCTCTAGAAAACACCAGTTACTTTGTTGTTGAGGTAGTGTGCTTCCACATGCTTTGTCAGCTCCTCAGTTCAGGAAAGTGCCCAAGTTGGGCATTTTTTTCTCATGCATTTTCAAGCATCCCAGAGGTCATTATTTGTATTTTTATAAACTGTTTCTTATATTTTTGTTACTGCTGGCTAACTTACAGGGACCTGCTATGAATTATCTCTTATATTTACATCAAATGAGAAGGAGATCACCCATACAACATACTCCAAGCACTCACTTGCAGCAGTAAAAATAGCAATATGAGCAATACATGTCCTTTTTCAGGAGATTCTTATTGATAACCAGCTGGGACTGCTGCTTTTTAGTTCTGCTTCAGCAGGTCATCTTGCCTTTGTATTAGCATATGTGACTAAATAAGGAATGGGGAAATGCTGAGGAGCTCCTCTGGTGTTGTGCATGCAGGATACGACCCACAGAATGAGAGAAAGCTTTCACAAACTTTTGTCTGTGTGAATTCTCTGATGTCTAATAAAGGTAGGGTCTACTGTACTGCCTTCTCCCTAATGGAAGTGGCAATAGGATCTGCCTTCTTCCCTGTGAAGCTAATTCTACAAAATTCATGAGAATATAACTTGGGAGGTACTTGTCTCACTTAAAACTTTGCCCAGACGTGGCTAATGAGCCTTGTATTATTAGGAAGAACCAATTGACACTTAACTTCCAGTTTCTTTAAAAAATAACCAAGAAGGAAAAAGGAAGTAGAGGTTGAAAGCAAAATGAAACATGAAATGAGACTAAAGAAAGAGGTAAAGCATGGCATAGCACTGAGGACTTGTCCAGACAAAAATATAATTGTCAGCTGTTTCGTTTCCCTCCACAGCTGCTGATTGACTGGATTAACACGACTCTGAAAGAGGAGCACATAGTAGTGAAAAGTTTGGAAGAAGATCTGTATGATGGGCTGGTACTTCATCATCTCTTGGGTAAGCTGCTTCTGAGTTAAGCTCGCAAATAAATAACAGAAAACCTTTACAAAGGTAGGACAAACATACTCTTGAACAGAAAGTGCTGTGGGTAAGTTGTGATAAAGGCAACTCTGAATGGATGCCTGGTGATCCACTGTTGTTTTATACAAATATTGTTTGTCTTCTCAGAAAGTCTTTAGCATCAGCCAAGAGCACAAAGGCAAATTATGATGCTACCAGAAATATCCAATGGAATCAGCACAATGATTTGTATATTTTCCAGCTTTTTCGTTTTTAAGTTTCAGGTCTAATACTCTGAATTGATGAATATCAATTTATTAAAGATGTGATCTCTTGGAACAGCCTCTTGGTCCATTTGTTTCTTCATTTTCCCTGTCCCTGCTTTGTTTTTCTCTTTTTGGGCACTCCTTTGAAATCCTGTCTCCTTTTCCTCAAAGTTGAAGACAGCAGAGTGAATAGGATTAGCTTATTTTCATAAATTGTTTGTCTGAGCAATGAGCTGGGATTTCTTCTTTATGTGTGAGTTGGTATGGCCTTTGTGCAGTACCTACAGGAAGGATTAATGTGTTGAATTCTTGTATGTTCCCCTAGGAAAAGGAGTGATGTGGAGTGCTGGGGATGGAGATGCTGCTGTAAGGAATGGGCTGAGACCTTCAGAGTTTTACTGTGTTTACTTGAGGCTATCAGAGAGAGTGGGAGTTTGATAAGGCATATGCTGTGGGCGGGCTGTGGGTCTGAGGTGTGGAAGCTGCTAAATGGTACTGGGCATTGAAAACAAGACTTTGTGTGTTTTGCTGAGATTTTATATTGATTTTTTTTTTTTTTTCCCCTCTCTGTGATGGTGTTAAATGCATCCATCTTCTTTATGTGGGCTCTCTGTCAAAGAAAATCTAGGATCTCTCAAGCTGGATGTTGACAAGATAGCATTAACAGAAAAAAAACAGCGTCAGAAACTCTCTGTGATTCTGGAAGCTGTGGCTAAGTGTTTGCAACTGGAAGAAAGTCAGCTGAAATGGAGTGTGGAAGGTAGGTGCAGCTGTGAAACAGGACAAAATCAACCATCCCGAGGCTTCTTCTGCTGTAAGACTGCTGTGAAGCAGTGGAGTGCCAGAACAGTAATTAAATGACCTGTTTGCAATTATTAGTTGAACCACAGGTGAGACAAGAATATCTAGTCCCTGACTAAGTGCAGCTGTGTCCTCCAGGTATGTAGTTTAACAGCCTTTAGCATCCATGTGAATGTCTCACAAAAAGGACTTTCAAGACGTGTTATTGCTGAATTGTGATGTGATATAAACCTCAACTTGATGTCCCATCTGTGTTACTGTGACTTTGGGATGCTCTGTCCAGGAAGAACTTAGATATTACAGTGAGGTTTAATTGTTCTGCACAATAAACTTTGTATTCTTTCTTTACATGGTACAGCGATTTTAGCAAAGGATTTACTGAGCACACTGCATCTTCTGGTCGCAATAGCAAAGCACTTCCAACCCAGTCTGGCTTTTCCTCCAAATGTTCATGTGGAAACAATCACTTTTGAGGTATTTATGGCTTTAATATTTGTCACCGAGTATCCTAAAAACGTTTCACAAGACTTAGTTTTATTTATAATTAAGGAGAAATGTGTGTGCAACAGTAAATGGGAGACTTATTTTCTGTGAACTGTATCTTTCAATTTAATGACTAGACCATAATTTTTGAGCTTAGTTCAGGTGCTGTAACTTTAAAAGGATAGAAACACCATGTTACTTTTCTCTTTGATCGAAAAAAGGAATGGTCCAATCTGAAAGCAGCTATTGGTATCAGTAAAAAGCAAAAGAAATTCTGTTCCTGCTCTCTCTAAATGTTTTAAAGTAGAAGCCTGTGCTTATTGAACATGACATTAGTTTCTTTCTGTAGGGGGAGTCTGTCCATTGGAGTCACATTTTGATATTTTTCTCTATGAGCTGAGATTTGCATGCTTTCTTTCTCCACTGTGTTTCTTGAAGTCAGCTATGGAACTTCAGGAGAATATTCAGAAGCCCACGGTTTGAGATACAGTTGCAAAAATCAGCACCACTACATCACAGTTTCAACAGTACAGTTGCCATTCTGTTGTGTTTTGAGCCCTGCACTCTGTTTGGCATTACCTAGAGTTTTCACTCTTTGAAGGGTGGTAACTGGAACTGGGACCATATGTACACTTACAGTACATTTTTCATGTCTGGAGGATTCAAAGTGTCAGGGAGGGACAGCCTCTTTAGGGGCCGTGTCCCAGCCTAGCACTCAGGAACAAGTAGACTCTTTGATTTCTTAGAGTTACTCTAATTACTTGTCCCTTTGCAGTGCTCAGATGCTCCTGTCATGTGAATCCTTCCCACCATTGAAAAGTCAGACTCTTTATAAAGCAGTCCTCCCACTAGTGCCCTGTGTGGCTGCAAGTACCTCAGTGCACAGAAATCAGGAGGGATTATCTATAAAACCACCGCATCAGAAATGAACATTAGCCCTGAGAAAGAGGGGGCCGTGGTAATGGAGATGGTGGGTTTTGGTGGTGAGCTGTTTCTTCACAAGAGAAATTAATGCTCCTGAAGGGAACAGGTCATTCTTGGTTGAAGAGAGCAGAAAGGAGCAGCAACCTCTCAAAGTGCCTGTACTAATTGTGCTGGGCTTCTTGATCAATGCTCTCTGGTAGTCACTTAAGGCAGCAGACAGTTCATGAAAGTGTCACTAATGCTTTCAGATTTTTTTTGCATAACAAAACCAAAAATACATATTTTCTGTTTAACAGAACACCTCCAAAGGATTAAAGACAGCAAATGGGGTGGAATATATCACAGGAAGCAAGTAAGAGGGGATATATTTGGTTTGTACACTGTCAATCAGAAAAGAAATATTGTGGGTGTTTTTCCCCTTAGAAACAAAAACTATCTGATATTATGATGATGACAAAAATCATAAAAGCAGGCATGCATATGCATGTTCTACTTTTTATTTAAATTTCTCTAAAATAATGTATACAAGTATTTATGAGGTTGTTATTGCCATGGAATATTGTAATAAAAATAGTAATAAACATCCAGTACTCTAAATTCACTGTAAAATAAACAGGAAATTTTATAAAGCCACAGTGGTTTATATCTACTATTCATTTATTTCTATTGTGTCCATAAATTAAGAAAATGGAGGCAGGTTTTTGCTTATTCTGGTTTGATGAAGTAAGGTTTGGACTTACTGAGTTTGTGAGGTGTTGTGGTTATTAAAGATCTGGCAGGATATCATTTTTACACCAAGAAAATATGGCCATCATTCCAAGAACCAGAAACAGACTTTCCTACTGTCATCTTTTATATGCGAGAACACCTTCAAATTCTGATTTCAAGAGCAGCTTATTGCAAGAGGTTATTATGGGTTGTGTTTATAAAATAAATGTTCATTGGTCTGTGGGCCAGTTAAATTTTCATGTTTCCAAGTATCTACACGGATATACAGTGTGCTTAAAAGTGTCTCTTGAAAAGTTACTCTGACATAAAGTTAATGGCACTTTGTACTGTATCTCCTGCTTTACAAGGTGCCTGATGGCCCAGATAAGCTTTGCTTATGAATAAGATTAGTTCTGCTGAATGCTTTTTCTAATTCTTTCTTTTTTATTGCACCTCTAGAGAGAATTCAGAAGAGCAGTCAAGTAAGTACTGGCTTTGCCAAGTCCAGCACTTCTCCATTAAGTATTATTATGCCCCAAAGTGGGATCGATTTTTACCGTGTGATAAAATCATTATGTTTCCACTAGAATTAGTGGAGACTCATTGATTTCTCCTAGCATTTTTCTGCAAATGTCTTCTCTTAAAGTCTGTATATTCAGCACAATATGGCTTGGAAGCTGGATAGTCCCTTTGCCTGTGGGCTGCAGGTGGGAGGTGAGACAGGGAATGATGCAGTGAACTGATGACCCAGCAGAGAAGCCCTGGCTGGGGACAAAATATGCCTTGAACTAAAAGAAATAATTAGTCTGTGCTGATCTCATTCTCTCTGTTGGAACTGCTTATGAACACAGTGCCATGAGAATTGTGTTTCTTCTTGCCTCAGTAGTTGCAATGTCATTTCCTTTCTGCAGTTTTCTGAAATTTCAGGATTCTGAAATCTGGTGCTTAGTTATGGATAGCAGCTCACTAAAGCAAGCAGCCTCCTTGGAGATTTTACCTTTAGGGCCTTTCAGGGCTATGAAACACTTGAGGTGAAAATTGTCCATGTGTGCAGAGCCTACAGAATGTCTTGGCACTGCCCAAGCTTTGGCTAGAGGCTTTTGGCTAGCACACCATGAGCTGCTCCTTGCTACTAAGGAGCATTCTTCATCCCTGGTGAATGAGTGCAACTGTTTTAATTCTCTGCTGAGCCCTTTGTATTAGCATTTCATACTTTGCAGAGGTGCAAACTGTATCATTTAATATGTGTTTATCACTTATTCCCCTGACTGGCCTCTAGCGTGGGCTGAAATAGTGAAAAATACTGTAATTGAGTATTTCTTCCAAAGGATTGATTCTACTGGAAAAAGAAATCTGAAATTCACTCTTCAGAATGCTGTCTCCATCTATTTTTAACACGGCTTGCTTAGCAAAGGCTGAAAGGAGTCTCATAGCACAGCTCCAGAAGAGGGCTCTCTCGTTTCTGAGACTGCTGCAGGTTGCAGACTGGCTCTGAGATGTGATGGGATCCATTCACCTGCTTCCCAGCAGGGAGGGAGGGCAAACCAGCTAAGCTCCTTCACTGCAGAGGCTTCCTTGCTGCTGACTTTCTGGAGGAACCTTTCTTAAGCAGAGTTGCGTTTGCCTACCTGCACCCTAGAAATGTATTCCTCATTTGGTTTTGCTGCCAGAACTGGTGCAGTATAAATCTTGAGAACATCTGCAGGTAACAATTACAGAGCTGAATGAATTGAATTTGGTATAATCGGGCTAAAGAGAAGCCTCTACCTCCGTCCTGTGTTAAATCCAAAAGCAGGATTTTTTCCATTCTCCCTAAAGCATTTTTCCTCCCTGGTTTATAAGGTGTGATTGCCTTTCTCCTTCTCAAGCCATCTTAAACCTGTGATCTGACAGTTTATTCCAAACAATATCAATTAATGTTGTTTTGATACAGCGGATGATGCCTTTGATGAATTATTTAGCCGTGCTCCTGAAAGACTGGATGATGTAAAAAAGGTAATTTATTTATTTATTCCTTAACACAATCAAAATATATTAGGTGAAACATAATTCATGACCACTGAAAAAAGTGCTCTTTTATTCCTCTCCTGTTTTCCATAGGTGTTTTTGCAGTTCGTCAACCAGCATGTTGGAAAATTGGGATTAAATGTGAAAGACATGGAATCTCAGGTAGCCTGCACTGAACTGAACCTTATCATTTCCTGTCATTTATTTGAGTGTTTCACCATTAGGATCCCTCTTTTTTGTTGTATCAGTTTTAAACTTGTCAACATAACGATTGTATTTAGCTTTGGGTTAAGATATCAGGCTTCGGTCTCTGAAATTTGAGAAACTTCTAAGAATTGGAAAAATACAGCATTGTACTGAATACTGTACGTTCCTTGTAATGCTACAGGGAGTCATTTTCAGAGTTGACTGAACTCCCATCTTTCTGAAGTAAGGCTGATTTCTGAGAATTACACTGATAGGTTGGTTGCTGGTGTTTAGTGATCTTTAATGCGGGGTTTGCTGCAGGGTAGGAAGGCTTGATTTTCTTTAAATGGCAGAACTCCATCCTTTGAACATCGAGCTTCCTTAGAGTCTGTCAAATTGCAGAAGTACTTGCTGGGCAGCCCAGGATCAACTCCCACGCACAGGAAAGAGAGGCTCCATCACACCTCCACTGTTCTTGGGGATGGAGCAAGGGATGGGGAGAGGTCTCAGGGGTGTCCCTGATCCTTTTTTCTTTGCTTCCCTGGACACATACACTATAGCAGCAGGAGAAATCAGCCTGTGAGAGGGGAAGTTCTGGGAAGCTTTTGTTGTAAATCTCAGGCACTGCGCACAAGTGTATTCATGTGTTTGTCACTTGTGGCTATCCGAAGTCTCGTCACATCTGGAACTGTTTGTTTTAATAGCAGTCCTTTCACGAGGTTGTATTTTTTTTAATATGAGCTTAGGAGCCTTATGTAAGTATGCACGAAGCGTGCTGTCTGAGAGGTCGAGGAGGATGAGTCACTGGGCTGTCTGGTTGCCAGAGTACCATTGCAACTCTCTTATCACTGGTATTTATCTTTGGAATTTACTAAAAGCCCGCATAATAAATAATATTCAAATCATTCCTCTTCCAGTTTGCAGATGGAGTTATTTTACTTCTGTTAATTGGACAACTAGAAGGTTATTTTCTGAATTTAAGGGATTTCTTTCTGACTCCAGCTAGCACCACAGAGATGGTAAGTTGTTATTTAATCGCTTAGAACCCGAAGCTTCAAACATCTTGTGTATTTATTGCTTCCATATGTCAGAAGAGCTCCGTGTCTTGCTGTAACTGCTGCTGCAGTATAAAACCATATACACGCACAGTATTTGCTGATGATGCTTTGGGACAGTACAAACGCAGGTACTAGGTGCTATTCAAATACTTTGGGACATATCTTCTTCAAAAATGTATTGTCTTATGTGATGTGAGCTATTGTTAATTGCATTTATTTATGCAGATGCATTCTTCTGAAGCCTTCCAGTTAAAATCAGAGTCTCTCTGCAGCAAGGAATTGGTGTGCTATCCTCCTACTAGTCTGTCCTACAAATGACATTGTTAAACGGATGACATATCTTGCATAACAGAATTGGATTCATATAGCTTTCCTTATGTCATCCTAAAAATATACCGTAATTGAGACATGACCAGAACATTTTGAAAGCCCCTTCTGTACTTTAGAAGCTCTTGAGAATATACCTCCTTTCTTCCTGGCTCCATTCTCAACCTCTACCAGGCAGGTTTTATCAGAACTTCCAAAGAAAATAGTAGTATCAGCCAGAAGGTAGTGCATGCTGGGTTGCTGGTGTGAATGCCCCAGCCACACATCCAGGATTCTGAAATGTTTTGAGGCATCTGAGATCTTTTCAAATTGTTTCTGATGTTGCTAAGGTCATAGGTGCTTCTGATGTGGCTCAGTTGCTGACGCTGGTGGGTCATGCACACTTCCAGGAAGCTGACCATGAAAACTGTTATTTATGTTGATGATTTTGTATACACGCATGCCTTTGCACCATAAAATCAAAAAAAGCTTTTTTCATTTGGGTCAACGAATGGCTCAGAAAATCACAGAATTATAGAATGGCCTAGGCTGAAAAGCACCACAATGATCATCTAGTTGAAACCCTGGATGTTTTTCCTGGGTTGTATTCGTTTAGGTCTCTGAAGATGAAATGTTTCATATCCTTTGTGCTCTAGAGATATCTGAGAAGGGAATCTCTCCTCTGATGTGATTTGCATTCAGGGTTTCCCACACGAATGTCGATTCCCAGTCTCACTGCAGCTCATCTCCCCAGGCACTATTTATCTGTGATGAAAATTCTCAGAGATCCCTTCTTCAATAACAAATACTTCTGTGGAGATCATCAAAGCATTTAAAAGTACAGCTGTCTGAGATGTAGGTTCAGATTTTTTCAAAATTGGTTGACTGTTAAAGGCATTAGGAAAATTCAGATTTTATATCTAAGATGATGGGAAACAGATTTTGAAAAGTTAAACAAAATCAAAGCTTAAAATCTTTCCCTTTCTCCTCCTCTACTCAGTTTTTGAAATTGCGTGCTCTGGTCCACTGAATTAGGAACAAACTTTCAACGTTTTCTTCCTTCAGGAGAAGTCAATGAATATTTTTTCATTTAAGATTTTGTAGATAATGTTTTCCTTTTTGTATTAGCCCTGTTCCGACTTGCACGGATCTCAAGAAATGAGATGCCTTTACTACATTTTAGGTACAAACCGAGCTTAGAATACCTAGTTCTTACCCTGCTTCCAATGGTCACTAGCACCAGATGAGGTTATAATGGGACTATACACTGGTTCAATTCAATACTATACATTCCAGCAATTTCATTTTAGCAAAATTATTTTCAAGAGCTGTATTTTCTGTTGAATACTTTGCCAAAGTGCTATTTACTGTTATTCTTGTCTGATGTTTATTACAAGAAAGAAAGCAAGATGACAGTACAACTAAAAATATTGAACTACCATGGTTCAGCTGTCATTTGAACATAAAATGTCTTTCAATCCCCATGTGCTGTCTTACTCCCTGCCATTTTAGACGTTAATTGGTACAGTAAAGTATGAAAATATAACCTTTGCTGATATTTAAAACATGTCATTCATGTAATAAAAGTGTGACAACCACACGCACCACTGAGATCAGTGCAGTGTACAAACTTGCTCTCAAGCTGGAAGCTTGTAGTTCCAAACTGATAAGTGCGCCTCGTGAGTCACAAGGAGGGGAAGCTGGAATGGAAGCTGTGATACCAAGAAGGAAAATAGAAACAAAAACTAAAGGAGATAGGGAGAATGGGAGTTCATGTTGCAGGGGCAGGAGAGCTGAACAAAGTGGGGATGACATCCTGGAGGTGACTGGCCTGCAGGTGCAGCAAGTCTGTGCTCCAAGTGGGTTACTTTTGTTCTGGGTGTCTCTTATAAACAGCAAGGCTTGTAAGCAGCTGTAAATCAGGTCTGGTTCTGGGTGCTCATGTCTATAGGAAATCATATATCATAAGACAAGGGATAGAATTATGAAATCATCAGGCTGGAATGAAGGGTGAACTTTGTGTGGCCAGGTGATAAGGCCTGGGAAGTCTCCTGTGCTTATCACAACTGTGCAGACTTGGTATTTTTTGTCAAACCAGTCCCAGAGCTGAAATATCCCAAGCATTTTGATTGCTGTCAAATTGTAAATCCTAGAGAATTTGCCATCTCTTTTGAGTGTGGAAGTGCAGCTGGAAGGAACAACTTACTTTTCTAGGTTGCTTTTCTTAGGTAATTATCAGTATTTCTGTCTGAAGATTTACTTTGAAATCTGCAAGTTTCTTTTCCTTGCAAATCTCATGTGCTTTAGGGAGGAAAATGAGATCCTTTCACCTGTGCTGATTCAATAAGAAAACATTTGATTTATTTATTCTGATCAGAAAAATTGTGTAGATTGGCATGAGCTTAAGCTCCCCTGTCTGCTGAGCATAAGAGGAAGAAAACAAGCTCAAATTTTGTCAATCTTGGTTACTTGTAAATCACAGAACCGTGTAAAACATAAATCTATCGCTTCATTTCAGAGCACACGGTTTTTGCTTGGCTTATGCATGTGGAACCCCAGTGCTTTTTGTCAGAAGATAATAGGGAACAGCATGGCAGCATTTAATGTTGTACCTCCTGAAGGATAAATTGCTCAGTAGCCTAAGGAACATACAAAGAAAATTTGAAGTTCTTATAGGCCTTGTTACATCATTAGAGGGAGAGAGTCTGCTAATTACCATGCAAGTAAATAGCTGCCCTTAAGCTGTGAGGAGCTAGTAAATTGAATGTTATATTATGTTGAAATATCATTCATCATTACTGCACATGCCTGTGGTGCAACTTTCATGCGAGAAAGAGAGAAAAACAAGTGAGGAAAAACTGGGAAAAGAAGCCCAGCCTTTATTCATAGAGGTATGCTTAATTTCTCAGGAGTAACATTAAGGGATATCATCACTACTATTACATGCATATACATCTTTATAAGTTAAAGCATTAAACCTCACAAATATAGCTGATCAGAAGATTTCCAATCTTGGTAATACTAAATGAAATACAGACAACTTTTGCATACTTTTTTGCTCCAAATATGGTAAGCATATGGGCATTGTTTAAAAAAAAAAAAAAAGTAGAAATAAATTCAGTGCATTTGTTAGATCCAGTTGCGAATCTACTCTGCTTTCCCTGTGGAAACATCCATTAACAGAAGACTTTCTCATGCAAGGTCTATTTTTAAATAAATGGATTGTTATTCCCACCCCATGGGTGGGATGCATATTGCTGGAGATGGGTTGCGCATCTGGTTTTATATGATAAATGGTAGAAATTCTGAAGAGCACTCCATCAAAAGTAAAGAGATGAATATTAGTGTGTATTTATGAATCGCTATCTTATTCCAGCTACTAGAGAAATACTTCTAAAACCATGCTGGTTGTTATGCTGTTAGATGGACAGTATTTTCAGTTACATTAATCTCTTTCTCTTGTCAACAGCTTCACAATGTTAACCTTGCATTGGACTTGCTAACGGATGGAGGTCTTCTCAATTTTTCTGTGAACTCTGAAGGTAAGTCATGGGACACAGAATTGTCTGGAGTAGCACTACTAACATCCTGGCTAGCAAAACAGGGTAATTGAAGAAAGTAGCTTCTGCAGTGTGACACCCATGCATTTCATTATATGAATGACCCATAGTTCCTTGTTCAGAATGAATAATAATAAAGCTGAACATTGTTTTGATTTTTTTTGAATTTATTTCTGTGCTAAAGATGTTACACTATTACAGATATATCAATTACACTGAATTTAAACTGTTTAATAAGTCAGTGATTGTCACTGATTTAGAAGAGTGGCAGTTCTTATTGAAAGTACAGCAGCTGAGCTGGAGGGAAAGCCATCTTCCTATTTCATAAGAAGCTTAGGTGATACAAAACCAAACTTGTTTTATATGAGAAGGCACCCTTCAGAAAATGTACTGAGAATCAGAAAGAATAATTTTTTTATCCAAATCCAGAGTGGCTGGTGGATCAATCGCCTGAATATGACATTTATAGGTCTTGGTTGTTGCTCTGCCTACTTCAGACCTCCGAGCTGAGTCTTGATCTCCATCATTCAAGTGAATGCTTATATTGCTGAGTCAGTGCTTTGTGTCTGATTTTACTGGGATGTATGTTCCTGTTCCTCTCTCACCTTGCCAAAAAAAATTCCCTTGACTGAGTCCAACTTTCTAACTAAAAAATTGCCCGACAGAACATTTTTGACCAGCTGCTCATCCATGTGCAATGGGGATGTGGGATGCAGCTGCATTAATGAGTTCTCAAATAGCACAAGAGAGGGCTGTGTCTGCTCAGGCTGACTTCTTGCAGAGGACAAGGCGTGCAACCTCAGCCTGTCATTGCTCCCGCAAGCTCAAAATCTTGTTGCTGAGTAAGAAAATCAAGTGTTTGTTAAAAATAAAAAGAATTACCTCTTCCATTGTTAGTTATTCATCAACAAGTCTATGTCTGTATTTAGTATGGAACCTAGTGCATCAAGGAGAGGGAATGACAGAATATAGGACTTCCTCTGTTTTCATTTTTGTTTTCTTTTTCCTCTAACACTTCAGTGATTCTGGAAGTTTGCGTGATGAGCATGTATGAACTGTGGGCCTTTTGCCATATGGCATAGAGCTATGAGTTTAGAAAGCTATTTATATTAAATATGAAACAAGTAACTGGCATGAGCTCAGATCTCCATGCTGGGATCAACTTTTTATATGAAAAGAGTTAAAGCCTTGCTTTTTTCTTTCCTCTGACTATTCTCTACTGCCTCTAATACATATTTAATCATTAAAAAAAAACATTGGTGCTAACGTCCACAGATCCTTAGCTTCATGGGGAAAATCATCAGTTAGTAATTGATTTTAATATGATTTAGGAGTACTACAGATGTACACTTACTGTTTGAGGATCTCATCTATTGGTGTTTCATTGTTTCTTCTGATGATTTACAACAGTATCAGAAGAACAGCAAACCTTCTCTATTAGCTACAATCTTCCGTTGCAATTATTAAACATGACAGAAGGTTGCATAACAAGAAAGTGGAAGCTGAGAACTAAAATCAAAAAAGGAAACAACCAACAGCAGGAAAACATGATAGAAACATGACAAAAAAATAGTATCAGGCAATTCCCAGTATGATTCGTACCATAGAAAAATCAAAAACAATGAAAGGTGTATGAGAAATGAAAGGTGCAAAGTCCTATTAAATTATCTTCTTTGTTCTATCAGAGAACAAGAGATAAGAATATTTCTTGCTATACATTATTTATCCTGTCTTTCAGCAAGATAGTGCAGCAAAGGTTCTTTTTTCTTATGTTCATTTAACGAATAAATATTTTTCTGAATTTGTGGTTCCTGTTTTGCTTCTTGTAGTTAAACTATGTAAGTTTACATTATAATTGGAGAAAGTTGGAAGATTGGCTTTGGCAGTGGTGGAATCCTCTAGTCCTCCAATTAGAATTGCTAACACTTCCCATCTGGTTGTGTTCCTTCTTGTGTATCCACAGATATTGTGAAAGGAGATCTGAAGACTACAATGAGGGTTCTGTATTGCTTGTATTCCAAATACAAGGCTAAAGAAACATGAAGAACAAGGCCAAGAGCTTAGATTGCCTCTTTTTCTTCTTTTTCCACCTCTCTCCTTTTCTTCTTTTTTTGTGCTAGCATGTCATGGTCTGGTTTTTGGATTCCCAGCTCTGCCACTGTGTATGTGCATACACTTGTGTGTGACACTTGCTGTATTAACACTGCATATGCGAGTATGTATAGATGGCCTGAATAACTGGAAGTATGTGCATATCCAGGGCCAGTGAATTGTGTAATTCTTTGACTGGAGCAACAGTTTGTTCCAACTGAGATCTATGATGCTGCAAGGAAGTGTAATGTGTGCTTGTTTGAGACTCCAGATTCTTTGCTCCTGGAGATGAACGTGGAAGCTGTTATTGCAACCTCCCCACTTTTTTGCTTCTTATTTACTCTGAAGAGGGAGAAGGCCCACCATAGCATCTCTGGGAAGGTTAAAGATACTATAGAAGTTCAGTTTACACAAGTGGTCACCTGTTGTCAGATGGAGCATTTGTACCGGACACCAGAAGAATAAGTAGTCAAAATGAAGTTGGCATTTACCATAGAATTTGATGAAAGTTTCATCACTTGCCTTCTCTGGAAAAGGGACCAAGGATTACATGCTGCCATGAGACTGCAGTAACCAAAGGGATCTCCTGCATAGCTGTGGAAGAATGCCATGGTTTCCTTGACAAGTTAATGCCAAACTGGACAGCTCCAGCCTGTTGCAACCCTAATGTAATGTGTTACTGGTGGGAATGCTGATTGCCACACTGGGCACTTTACAGAAGAGATTGATGTGACTGCATTTCCCTCCAGACAGAGGTGGTAGATGCTGGTCAATTCTACAGCTGGTAGAAGTAGAGGCCATCATGGATGTGTGGAACAAAACTCTCAGTTTCTGCCACTTCCAACAGCATACTCATGCTGGGAGCTTTCAAACTCCCCTGGGACCCTCTTAGCAGTGTTTGTCTGACAACAGTCCCCACGCATTCCATCAGGACCCTCTGCCTGCAGCCTGCTAACATGTCGTGTGAACTGTAACCCTTCTCTTTCTCTGGTGTTTTAAATCAGAACTCTTTCAAAACCTCTGTCTGCTCCCCTAACCTTAACGTTATGTCATGTTTGTATTGCATAAAGCTCGAGATGTAATTAAAAGAAAGTTTTGATATTATTTTGGCTTCTCTCTAAGCTGATTTAATTTCGTGCAGTCGGTGACTCTGATACTTGATCTCCGATCCAATCCTCCAACTGTGTAGTAGTGGGAAACTGAAGCGAGCTGAGTGTGAGTGGTGACATTTAAAGATGAGAATTTGTTGTGTCTCATTCCTGATCACCCAGCCAAAGAAAGATCCTTAGATAGCAATAATGAGAAGTCTTTAAGTCCTTCCTTTGAAAGTGGTAATAATGCACAGCGGCTAAAGGAAAGCATTCTACGATGTAATCCCTTTTGTGCTAATAATAATCTCATTATGTCTTTACGGAGGAAAAATCCAGTGTGTGTTGCCAATGAACTACAAGATCAAGTTGCTTCCCTAGCAAAAGTTGTATTTGCTATTTCTAAAGATTTAAGTGAGAAATACTTGTTTTCTCATGTGCAGTTCTCTTATGTCTCTTGCTTTATTCCTTAATGGGACTCAAGCAATTGGCTTAAAGTTTTGTTCTTGCTTTGCAGACCCCTTCTGCAGAGGCTGTAACTTTGCAATTGTGCAGTAAGTCTTTGCTGGGCAAATAAAATGGGGATGTTGTTGATGGAGGGCAGGAGCAAGAGGCAGGAGTGCCTCTGGCCAGGGCAGATGCAGCGCTACCTCCTCCACCAAGGAGCTTAACCTGAATTTCCTCCCCACTGCTGGTGACCACAAGTTGTTTCCAGTGTATGGCGTTTATACAGCCTCTGGGCTGTGTTGTGGGATGAATTGCTGCTGCCCAGCTAGGTGGATGTCAGGGCTCGAGGAAATGCAGATTTTTCTTGGCATGCTTAGAGATTTATGGTTTACTCCTCTGGTATAAGTAAGTCTGGTGCTTGTGTTTCTGCAGATTCCTACTGGGGGAAGTTTGGTTCTTGGTATTTAATAGAATGGGACGTATGCTCTTCCCAACATCAGTTTGTCTAAACCCTGTTATAAACAAGTCATTCCTTTGAAAATATTCCAGGGAAAAAATGACAACTAATATGCCTGAATCAAAAATACTGCAAGATTGAATATGAACATTTTAATCTTCTTTTTTTTTTTTTTTTTTTTTTAATGCAGCAAGCCAATTTATAACACACTTGACGTCTCTGAATGCTTTGATAAAAAGCCTGTGTTTGATTACTAAAATACACTGCAGAATATTACTAATCCATCATGCAGGCACCCGTTTCATAGTCCAGTTCAGAATACTCAAGAATACGCTATTTACATTTGAGGTATAGTCACAGACTTTGCATAGTTTAAATTGTAAAAACAGATTTATGGAGATTATTCCAAAAGTATGATGCTGGAGAAAATGGGAATATGTAATATTGTTCTCCGATGTTATTTTTGCCTTACATCAAAATATCTTGTTTTTCTTTTCTGTTAGAAGTATAAGTTAATGAAAAATAAAGCTGCTTACTGTTTAATCTGGCAAATAAACTGTGATCATTTGAATGAACTAAGTTGTCTGTACAAACCATTTCATTGCTGTAATCAAGTTTACCATATTTGTGTTTAAATCCTAGACAGTAAGACACACTGAAATCCAAGACAGATGACACACTGGAACAGGTTGCCCAAGGAGGCTGTGGATGCCCCATCCCTGGAGACATTCGAGGCCAGGATGGATGTGGCTCTGGGCAGCCTGGTCTGGTGGTTGGCAACCCTGAACATAACAGGGGGGTTAAATTAGATGATCATTGACGTCCTTTTCAACCTAGGCCACTCTATGAGTCTATGAAGCCATTTTTGATGGAAAAGCACAGTAGACTATTAAGGTATTGCGTTTTTTATTTATAGTGCCTGTGGCTAGTTGTGTGGTGATAGCTAAGTTACTGCCTGAGCCAGTGATTGAGCACCTGGTGAAGGGACATAGCCAGCCGTGGGAGCACAGGTGAAATTTCTGGTTCCACCCTTCCCTAAGCCTCATTTAAGGGCTGGCTGCCAAAGAGAGGGATCTCTATCTGGATATCCCTTCTATTGAAGTGTTTGGTGAGTCCTGATCCTTAGGACAGGTAAGTGACTCCTTTCTTTAACTGGCTTGTGACCATCACTCTTTTTTGGGTGATTTAGAACTGATGATGTGCTCCTGCCTTTCCCTGTGCTAGGTAAGCAAGTTTACCTGCAGTGACTTCAGCTTTCTGATAGGGTTTACTGGCTGTGTCAAACTGTTTTTGGGGAAGTAAATACGGTCTGTTTCTTTTCTAAATAGCCAATGTTTTGTCTGGGTATTTCTGAGCTGGAGGAGGGTCCTGCAGGAGCTCCTGGTGCTGTCCTCATCTCAAAGGCATGTGACTTGCAGCCGTGTAACAAGGCTGAGAACTGAAAGAGGCCTGAAGTGCTTTGACTCCTGCTTGATTTCATTTTTCTGTTGTCCTGTCTTTCTGATGTACTCTGCTTAGAGTATAGGTCACCTATAAAGCAGACATGAAGTGGTGAAGGTCTGTGGAAAGAAGAGTGGGTACAAGGGCAGAGTTACCGTGATGACACAAGGGAAGTAGCAGATGCACAACAGTTTGAGGCATGAGATCAGACTGTAGACCTGAGAGCAAGCTGGAGCTCTGTCCCTGGGGTCTGGACCTCTCCTCCTGCAGGGCTATGTGGCTGTTTCTTCGTGCCCTTGGGTGGGTAGAACTCTCTGATGGGCACCTTCCTGGTGGGCCTCATTGGGAAGTGAGCAGTTACACTTCAGAGAGAAAACACTGACAGACCCTAAATGCTGCTGGTGGAAAGGAGCAGCATCTATATGTTCTTGAGGGGTGCCTATTCTTCATGTCTGTTTTCTCCTGCTGCTGTTTTCCCTCCTCTTATTTTCTTACTGTGATTTATATTGTGCTGCATCTTCCAGGGGGACATCCCCACAGTCAATTTCAAAAGGCTCTTCAGCAATTAAGCTTTCAAACCATGAAAGCAGCTAATTCAAATTATTTTTCTCTGTGAGCTCAAAGTGTGTGTGCATGTGTGTGAAGAGATCGTGCTGCTCTTTCAGCTCCTAAAATCTCCCCAAAGAATAAAAGCCATTGTCAGTTTTCACATGCTTGGGTTTTTTTGTTTTTTTTTTTCTTAGTCAATTAATGTTGTGAGAAAGGGATGAAAGTGTTACTTTGCAGGTTACAGCAAACAAGACAGTATACAGCAGGCCATCCACTTTCTGTGGAGATGGATGGGATTTCTGTGCTACTCTAATTCTGCTGGGATTGTGACAAGGTTAGCAGGACACAAAGCGTAAGATATGGAGAGGCATGTTTTGAGACTAGTGAAAACCAGCGATACTGTAGGCTAGAACAGCCTTTCCCCTCATCTTCTCTGCCAGTCAGTTGTACTTTCTGGATTTTTAAAATAAAAACCCTACATCTCTATTTTTTCAGCATTTCTAATCAAATAAAACAGTGCATCAGGGCACCTCTTGCCCATCTTCCCCACAGTGCTTCCAGATTTATAAGCATTTTCCCTCTGTGCTGTGATAAGAGAAGATGCCTAAGCCATTCTGGTCCAGCTTCAATTGAAGTTTTCAAACTTTATCTACTGATCTCCTTTCTTAGGCTGTACTGACTTCACGTATCTCATCAGGAAGTCAATTAAGTAATATGAAATAGATACATGTTAGAGGAAAAGGGAGGAGCTTGGTCAAAGACTGATGAATTTCATCTGTAGAAAAAATGGCTCTTTGTTTAGGGTGGGAAATGGCTCAATTTGGGTCTTAAAATCTTCTTGTCATATAACTCCTGAGGAATTGCAGTTGAGTTGCTTCATGCTTTTCGCTTGTATCACAGATTCCCACCAAGTTCTGTCTTCTCTGGAGAGCTGCAGCCTGCACTGAACTCTCCTCCTCATTGAGGGGCTCCACTGCAGTTGAATAGCCTAATTTTTCATGGGAAATGGAGCCCAACTGTAGAGTCGTGCCCTTGATGGAAAAATGTAAACTTGAAACATAAGAACTAAAATGTCTCTGGTGTGCTGCAAATACGTTTCTTTCTCCACTGTTCTTGGTGTTTGTTTGTTTGTTTGTTTGTTTTTTGCCTGGTGACTCCCTTCACTTTTCTTCTCCTATGTTTAAGGAGTACTTTATCCATAGGGGAAGCATTTTATTTTAATGTAAAATGTCAACCGTTGCATTCCTGCCAGGAATCGGTCTCTGGATTCTAAATTGCAGCACATGCTTTCGCTTTGTCCCTGGGCTTGGATGTCCTTCTGGACCACCTGTTGCATAGCCAGTTGCCAGTCCCAGGCCAGAGAATGTGAGAAATATTTTCAGTTCTGTATGCACAGTGCTAGTCAGGCTTTTAGGGAAAAAAGCCAAGAGAAATAAAATGTATAGAGTCAAGAAGCCACAATTCTCGAAGTGTGTCTTAGCATGGATGTTTCTACTAGAAATAAAGTATTATAAGCCTATCTTAAATTCCAAAGAAATGTATTTCTCATGCAATTTCACCTCTACATATAAAGGTAATGATTTTTGAACTCATTAATTTATGATACTGTCAAAGCAATGTAAGGGCATCTTAGTGAAACAAGGTCTATGTATTTTTGTCAGGTTATTCTGCAAACAGTACAACTAAAATCATGTAAAACAAACAAGAAAAACTCAGATTACAGTCTCCTAGCACCTGACTTTTCTGTGTGTTCCTCCTTCTTATTTCAGTACTTTAGCACTCTGACTCTTTATTCCCCAATTTTCTTCTCTTGTGGCCTGTGGTGTTAATTGCCTGGGTGGTTGCACAGCTGCCTTTTGGCAATGCCTGCTCCTTTCCCTCCCCCTTTTTAGCACTGTTGAGATGTCCCTAGGAAGGTATTTTCTGGAGAAGTCACATTTGCAATGCAAAAAAAAAAAAAAAAAAAAAAAAGCTGTGAAAAATTTCTGGAAACACCACCTGGCTGCTGTGTGTAAGAATTTAAAATGTTTCTCAGTGAAATGCAAAAATAATTCTTTTATCCTTTCTCTAACATTAAAAAAAACAAACAAAATAAAATAAAAAAGCCCACAAAGGTGTAAGTCATAGCATTTTGACCCACCCAGTACATTAGGGATGTAGAAGTACGTCCAGAACTTGATAACAAACTAAGTTTCCGTACGTGTTTCACTTTCTGATGCAAGGCAGCTAGCATATGTATGTGTATATGTAGGTTTCTTTGATGTGTTCTCTTTTTGGCAGGAAGATGTTGAATAGGAAGGTTTTGAAAAATTCTGGGTGTTTGAGAACTTCAGCAGATTAGACTCCTTTGATACAGCTGTTGTACACCAGGATTATTTGTGATCGTGTGAGAGATTTCTGGACGCTGGTCTCCCACTTGGCACTGATGGGACTATACCCTATGCTGTATTATTATGTGTCAAAGTGTAACTTCTGGAAACATCAGGTTTGCAATGTGCAAGTAGGATTAGACATGTGTAGAGTATGCCTCAGAGCTGAGGCACCTCTAGTTTACTGTATGCGCTTTGCAGATTTTTTTTCCCATGTTTCTGTGCAAGAAGTCCTGTAATGACAAGGGCCTTTATCAATAGCAATCAGTGATAGAAGGCTGGACATCTCCATGGCACAGCTTTGAGGTTATTACTGGGACAATTACAGTGCAGACAAGGGGATTACAGTTCTCACAACAAGATTACTCCAAATTAGGGTTGTAGGTGAGAGAAATTGAAGCATGTAATTTGCTACACAACTACCTGCGAAGCTTTTGTTTCCTTACAGAGTTTGAAGAGCCACAAACTTGTCAGTGATTTCATAGACTTTAAAGTTACTCGGGAGATTACTAGTGGGATATGCTTTGAAACATGTTTTGGTTCTCCTGAGGTTACAGATTCTGTAAGGAAGGGCAAGGAAGTCTACATGGAAAGGGATTTTCTAGGACATGAAGCCAAAAGGGCAAGAACTGTTGATTAAAATTTCTTGCAGGGGATCCCCACTGTAGAAGTGTTGACTCTGGCTCTTTGCTACGTCTAGAAACCGTGTAAAACATGTACCATGCACTTTATGTAGAGCAGATGGTACAACAGGCTCTGCTGGTTGCAGTGTGTCAAATAACAGATTGTCTGGAAAAGTTTGCTTGCTTTTGGCAGACAATTTAATTCAGCTCATGGTACGTTACTGAAGTTCATAGCGCCTCTATGCAAAAGTAGGCAGCTAACACATTTTGTCATCTGCTATACCAAAAGTTTCTTAAATAATAAAAGAATGTTAGAAGTTGTGTCCCTACTTGTGCTCGCGAGTGGAGGTGGGAAAAGAAGTCTTGAGGATGTGAGTAGAAAAAGTAGTCTGGAATCCATACATTTGATTCGTGTTCCAAAGCCACAATCTCCTTCCAGTTGGTACAAAATTGTATTTTGATGATCTTTTTATATACATTTTGAAATAGTTCCTCCCTTCTATATTGAAGTGGGAGTGACATAAAAAGATCACAGACTTTGGTGAAACAGATACTATTTCTACAACTCCTAATGTCTGTGCAGGATGGTATATT